CTGTTCCAGTTTTACTAGTTGTAACCAGAGGTGATATTCAGCAGGTTCTGACCAGTTCTGGAGAACCGGTAGCGGAAATTTTTGAGTAGTTCGGAGAACCGGCAAATACCACCTCTGGCTGGCCACGCCCCCATCTATTCTCTGCCTCCTGAGTCCCAGCTGATCGGGAGGGAATGGGGATTTTGCAGTATCCTTCCCCTGGTCCACGCCCACCAAGTCACACCACATCACACCCACAGAACCAGTAGTAAAAGTTTTTGAATCCCACCACTGATTGTAATTGACAGATTTAGGGACAATTTCGACATGCTTCCGACACGCCCTAAAAAGTTGGCTTTTTCAGCAAGCCAGCCTGGCCTGAACAAAATAAAATAAATGATTGATTTAATTGTTAATTTTAATCTATTTTTTTTAAATGTTATTGTTAATGTTAATTGGGTTTGTTTTTGGATACTCTAATTTCCTTTTTAAATTTTGTAATATTTTTTTTTTAATGTTGTATGCCGCCCTGAGTCCTTTGGGAGAAGGGTGGTATATGAATCCAATAAACAAACAAACAATTTTCTGAAGCTGACTTACCATATGACTTATTTCTCAGAGAGAGGGTTGAGGCAGCCAGCTCACCTAGGAATCGACAAGAAAATAAGGGCTATACTGCATCCTGGAGACGCAATCAACTTTGCGATTCATCACTGGTGTTTCACCGCTGCAGGTTTTAAATAAAAGACTGGATAGCCACTTGTCTGAAGTGGCATAAGGTCTCCTGTTTGAGCAGGGGGTTGGATTAGAAGATCTCCAAGGTCCCTTCCAGCTCTATTCTGATTGCTTTGCATCCATATGCATATTGTCAAGGATCTCTTTCATTTCTACCTTGTTTTTAAGGGAAAACAATCTTTCCTTGGGCAATAGTTCTGACTTGTCATTCTAAAACTAGGGAAGGCAATACTGAAATATCCACTTTGAATGTCCTCCACTATTCTCTTTTTTGAAGATACTAACCGCATGGAAATCAGACACTGGATGTACTGTTAAACTTGAATATTTTGACGAAGTTCGCTTACATGCATTCTTTTTCTGTAGATTTCCGTGTAACAGCAACAGAATAAAGGTTCTATTTTGGGTTTTGCTTGCTTCCTCGATTTGCTAATCCTTTTAAGGAGTTTGATCCCTCCCCAACCACACATATTATGAGAAGCATTCAGTATAAATATCCAAAAGGAAACTTTATTCTTATTTCCAAATATTACATGCACTTTCAAAAATTAAAATTCTTAAACTTTTTTCAATAGCTTCTGGTCAGTTAGGAGGCAGCAAAGGATACTAGAGACAAATATTTTGAAAAAGCATTTACAAAAATACATTGCACAAAGTCCTATCTCATTTTTCTTAAAAATAAGTTAGTGTTATGCAAAACAAATAAACAATCCCTGCCCTTCCCTATCTGGATTTATACAGGATAATTTGGAATCATTTCCTTAAAACTGTTAACAGATTTTACTAAGCTTTTCTCAAGAGCCACTAGTTCTACTGTAAGCTAAACTCAGCTGAACAAGTGGTATTCAAGAATAAAACTTGCTTTTATAATTATTTGAGGACTCTTGTGCAACATATGAAAAAAAAAAAAAATCAGCATGTCTTTTTTTCTGAAATCAAAGTTTACGTTCCAAAAACCCAGGACTTAAAAGTACCATTTTCATAGGGGGGGAAAAAAGCTTTTTCTCAGACGGATCCTGACAACTTTTCAAAATTAAATTTTAAAAAAGGAAGCTGAATTGCCAGGGATTCTGTTCAATAACATGAAGGGAAATTCCCCATAGAATCTAATAATAGCTCCAGGTGCCATCCTGAATTTGATAGCCCATTTTTATTATGTGCATATGCATGCTTTTAAAAAAAAAAGAAAAGTAAATATAGATCCTTTTTTGTTTTGTTTTTGGAGAACCGATTCAAAAGGGTTGCCTTTTGTGCTTTCCCATATATCCGGCCTTGTGAAGCTTCCCCTGAATTTTTCAGAGATTAGCAGCAATCCCAAAGGACAGAGAGAACTCTGAGAGGAGTAAACGACACAAAACCCAACATGCAAATAAAGCTCCAGGCCTGAATTTTACTGGCAAACTGCTTTCTTCGACGTTTAGTGTTCCTGCTTTTAATCTTCTACCACTGATTCCATCTCCTACATTTCCTTTTCATTATCTCCCATTGCAGGGTAGCCAACTACTATTATGGACCTGTCTAATTCCATTCCATCTAAACCAGGGGTGCCCAAACTTGGCAACTTTAAGACTTGTGGATTTCAACTCCCAGAATTCTCCAGCCAGCAGCAGCTGGCTGGAGAATTCTGGGAGTTGAAGTCCACAAGTCTTAAAGTTGCCAAGTTTGGGCACCCCTGATCTAAACCATTCTCAATGTAACGTCGTCCTTAATCCACCTACCTCACTCGGTGCTAACACATGGGGATATTTTGCCTTCAGCACACAAGGCAACTTGCCAAACCACTCCATTTCTGTTTCTTACTAGAACCCATCAAGTTAGACTCAAGCCCTTTCTGTGTTCAACAATCACTACTGATATTCATTTGGATGTTAGGGTTAGGGTATTTTTTTTGTTTTGTTTACTAATATATATTTAAGGAAAAACGTTCTAAACCTGGAAGATAAATATCAAAGCAAAACTTCGGTTGAAATCAGAATCTTCAACGTACGAATTAAATGTTGCATGACTACAACTGAGGAAGTAGCTTCAAGGATGAGCTGCTAAGCAGTTTCGTCAAGCAAAACTCCGAACAGTGGTAACAAGCCTTAGTTTCAAGGCTTGGGCTGGAATTGCAAACAAACCTTCATCTGATTGGGAACTGCATAAACAACAGAACATGCTAATCATATCCAGGTGCAGAGGAGAGTCCCAATATTTTTTTTAAAAAAACAGATTCCTAATGGTGAAAAGGAAAAATTTAAAAGCTTTATCTCCTGACTTATTAAAAGAGGGGTTAGTGATTTGCTAATTGGGCTTAGGAACGAGAGCAGTTGGCATGCGCGGGGGGGGGGGTTCCCCCCCTTCAGAAAGAACATATTAAAAACATGAAGCTGTCTGGCAGTTACAAGCTGAGCATCTTGAGCAAATAACCATTAGGTTTGGGATACAATTTTGTTGGCAACCTTCTACGTTTAGCCAGGAAAGAGTAACACAACCTGTCGGACATGACATATCTTCCGTCTTTTAAAGATTCCAGTGTTCAAAATTTCCCTTTATAAACTTAAAAACAGAAATGGTGTATAACCAGAGTAGGAAAATAAGCGTAGTGTTCATTCAGCAGTTTGCCCGTGCACTCTGAAGCGATAGAGACACGTATATTCTGTGTGACCCCAGTTGGAAAATATCCTTAGTTCCACTATTTGGAATGCTTTTTCAGTTGTCTCCTAAAAGAAGAAGAAAACGTTATTAGAATCCACTAGAGGGAGTCCTGATTTACGACCACAATCGAGCCCAAAACCTCTGTTGCTAAATGAGACAATTGTTAAGTGAGTTTTGCCCCATTTTTACGACTGTCCTTGCCATAGTTAAGTGAATATTTGCAGTTTAGGTTTAGGTTTATTAGATTTATATGCCGCCCTTCTCCCAAGGACTCAGGGTGGCATACAACATTAAAAGAAACACATAATACAAAAGTTAAAAAAAATTAAATAGAATAACCGAAACAAACCCAATAAGAATTGACAACATTTTTTTAAAAAGAAAATTGAATTAAAATTAACAATGGCCAATAATTTGATTTGTTTTGTTCAGGCCAGGCTGGCTTGCTGGAAAAGCCAACATTTTAGGGCACGTTGGAAGGACCGGAGGTCGGGGATTATTTGAAGCTCCAGGGGCAGCTCATTCCAGAGGGAAGGTGCTCCCACAGAGAAGGCTCCCCCCCTGGGGGTCACTAGCCGACACTGTCTGG